CACACACACAGGCTACACACCAACACACAGAGATCTGCATGTGCACACACACACACACAGGCTGCACACCAACAGGCTAGGCTGGAGGTGGGGCCTTGATGCTGTGTGAGAGCAGCAGGCATTTTTCTGGGGTCCTGGTTAACATCCCTCATCACTGCCACCTGGCCTAATGTCCTTTGTCCCCAGCCTGGGTGTCTGGATGCAGTGGAGGTGGCCAAGGGCTGTGACGGCCCCTTGAGGCTCACAGAGGCAGACGTGGAGCCTGGCCATTTGCGGGCTGAAGCCCAGGATGTGTGCCATCAGCTGCTGGAAGGTCCATTCGGGCAGTGCCATGCCCAGGTATGGATGGGGTGGGGGTGGTATCTGGCATCCAAGGGAGGGTGCTAAAGAGGTGGCAGCCAGCTGGTCTGGCCCTGCCTGTGGGTTACTTTGGGCCATCTGTCAAACCTCCACCTCCCCATCCTCAGCTTTATCTCTGGGAAATGGCCAGCTCATATGTGTGATCTCTGAGGTCCCTTCTGGGGCCCATCCGTTTGGTTACAAGTCATGGAGTGATGGAAGCAGGAGGCAGGGGGTGTTTGCTGAGGCTGTTTGCTGAGGGGCCGTCTTTTCCTGCAGGTTTCCCCTGCTGAGTACCACGAGGCCTGCCTCTTTGCCTACTGCGCAGGGGCCCTGATGGGCGGTGGGCAAGAGGGGCGGCGGCAGGCTGTGTGTACCACCTTTGCCAGCTACGCCCAGGCCTGTGCCAGGCGGCACATCCACATTCGCTGGAGGAAGCCTGGCTTCTGTGGTACTGCTCGGGCCTCCCCACCCTGCGGGATTGGCTGGGATCTGGTGGGGAACCACAGCTCACTCCTGTGCCCACAGAGCGCCTGTGCCCCGGGGGCCAGATCTACTCCGACTGCGTCTCCCTCTGCCCACCCAGCTGTGAGACAGTGGGTCAGGGAGAGGAGGAGTCCTGCGGGGAAGAGTGTGTGAGCGGCTGTGAGTGCCCTCGAGGCCTCTTCTGGAACGGCACCCTCTGTGTGCCTGCCGCCCAGTGCCCCTGCTACTACCACCGCCAGCGCTACGCACCCCATGACACGGTGCACCAGCTGTGTAACCCCTGGTGGGTCCTTGGGCCGTGCTGGGGGTTGGTGGCTGCGTAGTGCCCTCGAATCCTTCCTTTTATGCCCTCTCCTCAACCTGCTTCCCCCAAGTCTCCAGCCCACTCTGGGCCTTCCTCTTGGAGACCTGGGACTGATGCTGGCATGGCTGATGGCCTTGCCAGCTGACCTCTACCTCTTTCAATGGGAGAGGCTCTCACAGGAGGGGAGGAACAAAGGTTTTGGGGGGTCATATCCAGCTCAGACTCCCCCTCAGGGTGGAGCTGATGCCAGAGCTCACTGTCTCACCCACGTGTCCACAGCGTGTGCAGGGATGGCCACTGGCACTGCGCCCAGGCCCTGTGCCCCGCCGAGTGTGCCTTGGGCGGGGATGGGCACTACCGCACCTTCGACGGGCGGAGCTTCTCCTTCCGGGGCCATCAAGGTTGCCACTACAGCCTGGTGCAGGTGGGCAGAGGGCAGAGGCAGCACTCTGCCAGAGTATGGGCCCTCTTAGAGGGGGCAGTGGGGCTGAATGTAAGGAAACCCCTAAATAAATAAGCGAAACCCAGGGTCTTCTCAGGAAAGGCCAAGGGACAACCAACGCTGGGGGCGGCTGCCACAGGCCTGGAGGCCTCCTGCTGGGTTCTCACCTTCCCCCAGCTTCCCTGTGAAAGTCCCTCTGTCATCACCACCAGCCTACGGCCACTAACCAAAACCCATCCTCAGTGCTGTCTCACTGATGGGATAGGCTGGGCTTGTCACAGGCTACTTCATGTAAAACAACCCCAGGGGAAATAAGAGGCCCTGCTCCCCACCCTAAACCTCCCTCAACAAAGTGAGGCCACTTCTCAAGTTCAGATGCAGGCCACAATTTTTCCAATCATCGGGTCCTCTGAGGGATCGCTCCATCAAGCTATTGGACCACTTCCTCTCATAAGTAGTGATGGGTGAGGAGGTCCTGGGAACACAATCCTCAGAGAGGCTATACCTGTCCATGGGGAGGGAAGAAGACAGCCATCTCCCCCAATGCACATGGCCAAAGATGCATGTGTGTACACATACACGCTGCACACCAACATGCAGAGATCTGCATGCATACACACAGGCTGCACACCAACACACAGAGATCTGCATGTGCACACACACACACACAGGCTGCACACCAACACAGAGAGATCTGCATGTGCACACACATACACAGGCTGCAGACTAACACACAGAGCTCTGCATGTGCACACACACACACACACACAGGCTGCACACCAACACACAGAGATCTGCATGTGCACACACACACACA